CCCACCCGCCTCGGGGGGAGAGGCCTGGTTCCAGCGAGCGCTTTTTAGGTCGCTGGTAGCTTCTGCAGTTGGACGTCGGGCTGGATATAATTTGGATCAACATCTCACGACCTGCCCCTGAGTTTCAGTCTTGGACGTGTACAGGCCTGTACATGCATTGGCTCTACTGCCCCACTGGCAGCCATTCGCAGCCCGACGATCGGTGCGTCCTTACGAAACGGTGCCAGGCCTGGCTCCGTTGGTCCGCTCAAGAGTGTTTGGACCAGCTCGTGGGCAACCTGCGAAAGACACATCCAGAAGATGTCGGAAGACTGGATCTGAAATATACTCCATTTTGCATTCATTACCAGTTTCAAAGAGAACAAGCAAGTATTCCAAGCCACCAAATATTGAGGGATATCCCCGGCCCAGAACTCCATCTGAGGACCATTGTATGGAGGACATGATGAAGTGACTCTGCTTTTGAGGCGGGGCAGAACTTTGCATATTAGCAGTGCCATTCAATCAGATTGTCGGGTAGGCAAGAAGAGATGGACTACAAAAACACCATTTAGGTGATGCTATGTCACTGTCTGTTCAGCACATTATGCGGAAGTACTCCTCAACAAGCAGATTAGAAGCTGGACATCGATCTCTTTGGTTTGTCGGGGCCTTACCAAGTGAATCAGGATGAATTAGGTGTTTTCATACACACACACACATATCGAGGTTGCAATGAGTCTGCTGGGCGATGGTGCTGCAGCGGCCAGAAGCTCAGCGCCGATGAATGCTGGATGTAAAACGAAAATCAGTTAAGACTCTAGTCTAGGCTAGTTCACCCACCTTCTTCGGACACTTGTAGTCCTAATGGGGTTATTGTAAATGATTTGGGCTGGATCATCACTTTTTTCATACTTCTCTTCATCCTCTGCGATCCACTGCTCTTCCAACCTCCTTCGACCCTGCGCCTGGCGATTTTCACTCGGTCGAGTCTTGGGCGGATAGGCAGCACCTCAGATGCACTCAGACTGTGGCGGCTCTCTCCACTCGCTGTTCAAGTTGCTTTTTGGAGGTCCAAACGCAAAGAAAAGAGCACACAAACTTCCACCGTCCACTGACATCCACTCACCCAACCTAGACAACTGAAAAGGATTGAAAAGGCCCTGTTGTCGAACAATCTGACAAGCGCAAATAAGCTACTCGATCTGACTAGGCTAGACAAACAAGACTTGAGTTCCACTCACCTTGCCTCCCGCAGTGGCTGCGCTTTGCCGAAGTCCCTCCCCCCTCTCTGCGTGCCCAGGCTGAAGACTGGCGTCTCAGGTGGGCGGGTTTCCTCACAATGCTTGACGTCATAGCGAGCAGCACTTAACGAGGCGAAACAAAGGCCTCGGTGTTGGGGAGGGCAAGCTTCTAGATACAGTAGCCATAAGTATATAACCGATATCATATACCCATAGACCTGAGTTGGGGACTCAGGTCTTTGCGTGCAAACCAAGCAAACATATATTTACACATTCATGGTCTCCTCAGTCTTTTTGCAGCGCCTTGAGTCAAAAAGGCTTGTGACATCACAGGTGCTTGCGACCCTTTAGGCAGCCATTGGCAGCCAGTCGGTTGGTGTGAAAAGGATGGCGCCCTGCGATCTCGCCGTCCTGAAGCTCCAATTCCCACTCGTCCATGGCGACTCCACCTCGGCGCCATGAAGAGGTATTTGCAAACGCCTTCATGCGCCTTCCGACTTTCCCAAAAAGAAACACACGACAATTAGGTGAATCCTATACATGGAACAACAATAGATCTTCCAGTTGCATATGATAAAGCTGGCTTAGGAAATGGAACATACGAGGCACTGACACCGGTTGTTGCTATGGCCTGGTCTGAAGCACTGCATGGCTGGGTAACCACCATGCTGCTCCACAAGCGGAACTGCTGGCTTGTTAGCCAAGCACAAATGATCACAAATGCAACTGGCTTGTTTCCGCAGACTTTGATGAACCCTTGGCATCCCTTTAAAATGGTTTCCAGTCCGTTTGAAATGGTGAGATCTTGGCATCAGTCTCATCATCCCCTATGCCCCGTTCTCCTCCAACCCCTCCGCCGAGTGGCATTGGACCCCGCTGTCCCGAAGCCAGCCAGGCTGTGCCTGGAAGGCGTCTTTATTAATGCTTTCTGTGGATGCATGGAGATCTGCCACAACTGAGCGACCCCCAAAAGAACTAGCTTTTGAGGTATCACTATATCGCCCAGTCGGTTTCAGACTTTCATGACGACGATGAAGATGTGTCAAAAACATGTCAAAACCCTCAGAAGGGACTAAAGCTTGTAAGAACATGACTTTCAATGAGTTCGATTGAGCATTATATAAATACTACTCTAGACTCTAGAGTATCTCTAGACTCCATGTTGGATGGTGGATCTTGCGCAGGTGCGTGAAGTATATACATGGCCAGGAATTCGGCTGCGACGTCCTTCCCCCCAGGCGTCCCAGCATCATCTGGTGGCGGTGTGCCCACGGGCCTCAGCCGTGGCTGAAAAACAGGCTTCACACATGACTCCTGTGGCTGCTGCTTGCATGTGCCACGAGCCATGAGCCGAAGCCAGCATGGGAACCGAGAATGGGTGCCACCACGATCGGAAAATCAAAGGATTTCACATGAGCTGAAAGGCACGGAGTTCAATGCGTCGGCGCAAACGAGTCAGCTTGGATGACTAGAAGGAGGCGGGTTCAACAGTTTGGCTGGGTTCTGTTTCAAGCACTCCATTCATCTCCATAGCCTCCAAACACCGGCTGAACATTCCGTAGGCATCCGTAGGCCGTAGGCACTCCTGCGGTATTTTCATCCTCCCCGCATGACAGGTCATACCTCAGTCTTGTCCAGACCACCCAGCTGGTTAGCACACCAGCTCAAACGCCTGAGCCTGCGCACCCGAACTCCACGGCATGCCGCCCGGCCGAAGGCGCCTGTGTGCACCCGATGTCCGTCAACGGTAAAGGAAAGAAGGTGCACGAGAATCATGGAAGCGGATGGCATGGCCCCTTGGGCAACCATTTTATTCTTAAACAAAGGATGGTGTTCCACTGTTCCACTTCATGACAATTTCAAGGTGTGTAAACCTGTGGTGCGAAAGACCCGAGCAACACCCAGGCCACATGCAGGCCACGATCTCCGCTACAGAACTTTATCTGGGTCTTTCTCGAGGTGTTTATAGAATTTTATAAACACAAGGCAGACCGGTGAAAATGACAACCAAAGCAAGAAATTACATACTTGGACCAATCAAAGTCTTGCAGCTTGGTGAGTTTTGAGAAGAAGTCCAAAAATCAGGATAGTTTCTCTGCCATCGTCACGCCAAACAGCTTGTAGATGCTTGTAGTTAAGTGAGAGGGATGGATTCACTGGGGTGGATTATATATACACTCCTTATCAGCACCAAACATCCAGGCAAATGGCTCCTACATGGGCAAATCGAAAGAAGGAAGCGCACGACTTAATTGGCCAGGTTTGCCATCATAAGAAAATCCAACTCACTACAATACCGCGAATATGGTGTTGGTCTATTGACTCATGGTACGTTCCATACAATTTGCCAACGCATTGACAGGAAACACGGAAGAAAACCTTACTATGGCACCATTGCAAATACTCAACTCCTATTACGATCGAACGGCAATCATCTCCTTTGCTGTCCCCCACACTCTATCGGCATGGCTGTCTCAGACGGTGTTTTCCTCCGACGCCGACTCCCTGGTAGACGCGCACCTCTGTGGACAACTCTTCACAGGTCCTTGGTGCCAAAGATACTCCCCTGCTATTCGGACCACATGGAACCCCAAAACCACGTCGGGTTGGTCTTCGGAAAATGGTCGAAACCTTTTCCTTCTCAGGTTCCAAGGGATCGTTTGCGGGGGAGTATGTCTCATGCCTTGAAAGGACCTGGGTCACAAAGCCACTGGAGGAAGGACCTCTCTGGGGCCCTGGGGATACCCTGATGATACAGTATCAGTGATACATGATACACGTAATAAGTTGGTGTGACACGAGTATGGGTACGACATAGTCGGACTAATTTTGGTACACATACTGTAATACAACAGAACCCGAACTATCTGATGATGATGTCTTGGACTAACTTGGACTCACAAATGGTTATTCACCTATCCGATGCCAGTGAATCCAAGCAAACTATATACAGTAAGTACAAAAGCTTGATGCAGCTGAGCTAAGTAGTGGGATTTTGCAGCCACCAAGAATTTTTCAGAATCAGCTGATCCCTCCACATCACTCTTGTGTCACATGAGCCGTGGACAATGTCACTTGCAGCGAAGGACATGTAACATCAAATATTGTGCTGTTGCTGTTTTGATATTTGCCGGTGGGGTTTCTATTGTTTTCGAATGTTTCTCCTCAAACCTTAGTTCGCAGCATGCCTAGGACATGCATATGCAGCCCTTATATAAATGTGTTCCCCGGTTTTTTCTAGTGACGGACGGAGCGACACCATGAGGCACGAGCTTTTCACCCAACTCACCAACTCGTTGCATTTTACCTTGTCCTGGGCGAGCTTCAATCTTTGTGAAGCTCCAGCCGCGTGCACTTGGAATCTGACTACCTTTATGGCTGGAAAATGCGACGCGAGAGGAATCAATAGCCACTGCAGGCTATGGGCGGCTGCGGAACGCGAGCTATGGCAATATGTCTTATGACGTCGAGCAATTCCAGCCACACCGGATATTGAAACGTCCTTTTGTGGTCAATCCGCCTGATGATCTTCGGCCATCCGCACCATGCGACATGAGAATCCAGTTAGCTTGATGATCCAACAATCCAGCACACCTGAGCCACGAATCAACACAACAAACCTTCCGGACCTCTGGCAGTGTTTATGTACATGTACACACCTAGAATCACCTAGAGCCTGATTGACCTCTGCTTTGATATGAAGAGACCATATTTTGGGTATTTTTGGGTGGTTGGTGGTCCAAAATAGAGGTCACTCAGGCTCCAGGTGCCCCATTGTACCTGCCAACATGTCGGACTTTGGCGCATCTGGACGTCGGATTCTCGGCATGGCCAGGCCATCATGAGTCATTCAGGCTGTGATCGGCCCTTGCGACCCAAAGGGCAATGGCCAAGGCTAAAGTGGCGGCCAAGCCCACCTGCGCAGTGGAAACACGCTTGGAGGAAGGCACAGTCCGGTGAGCTTGGGAAGGAGTGGCTTTGGGGATCGAGATGCTCACCCAAGAGAGCATTCATAGACCCTGATGATGTTTCTGGCTCCAAACAAAGGTGGCCTCCCAAGTGTACCATGTTAGGGTCAAAGAGCATGAGAACTTAACAAACACCAGCACCCGGCTCGAACAAAATCCTGTCATATGAGGGGTCATCTACCTAGACTGCTGCAAGGCGACCAGGAAAAGATGGGACCCTGCATTTTCATCATTCCCTTTTGGACACCGATGGCTTGACCAACGTCAATATGGATCCGATCGTGTTCCAAACCTTGAGCCACACTCCAACCACCGGATGCCTTGGAAGCGGAACATGAGATATGATGAGATAATATGAGATACAAATTCCTCGTCAGAAACAGCGATGCTCCAACATCACCCGGATGCCAGGGCATCTCCCCTCATCCCTCATGCTTTCTTTCATCAGCCTGACCGCTGGGCGGATGTGCCGGCTTTCCCATAGCTGTGGGCCCCTCCTGCGACACAAGCGTGGGCATCGGCCAAAAACAGCAACACATCTTCTTAATATATACACTTCATCAATATGTCTTAGTGTAAGTTATTATATAATTAGTCGGAAGTAGAGCAAACACCAAACCTCCACCATACCCTTACAGCCTAGAAACACTCAACCACCTCACACTTGTCACAACTTCTCAGTCAAAGCCACCAACAACCCCCTCTCATTCCAGTCTCACTTCGGACTGTCCCCTCCGTCCCGTCCGCTCCTGGAAACTCCGGAAGCGGCTCGCGGGAATTCCCGCGGCTGCCGCGCCCGCCGACCCAATCGTCTGGCCGCTCCCGGTGTTGGCAGCCTGACCCGCCATCGCCTGAGGCGCCGCCATCGGCTGGGTGGCCGCCGAAAAAAACGCTCAACATCAGGGCTCTGGGAGGCCACTGGTCTTACAAATTGGCAGGTTTGTAAAGAATTTCCCCATCAGAACTGCTATAGTAGTCAAATGTAGTTAGGCTGCTACAATCTGGTCTGAACTTCCTGTCGCTATCACCCCTGAGAGTCAACTTGGTACCTAATTAAGGTCTTCCTTGGAAGCTACCCTCGTCGGTTCACGGTGTCATCCAAAAGGCTTCAAAAAACTATATACTCATCATCATCTTAAGCAAAGCCAGCTCAAAAGAAACACGCTGCTCATCGGACGAAATGAGTCATCTTCACGGAGCTCGGCAACTCGGTCCGGACCCAGCACCAGTGGGGAGATGATCCAACAATGGCAGTGGTGGGACCCAGCTCCTGTTGTTCTTAGGGTGAGCAACACACTCTCCTTTTAGGCCTCTTCTCCTTGCGTAAGTCTTTCCCTATGACCAGTATGTGGGTGCGCATTTTAATACGGAGATCCCTGGGTTTAGGTCCAACTGGGAGCTCTCTCTATGTGACCTATATATAGCTATACACCCATATATGGTCAATGGTACATCTTCCATGACACCGTAGCCCGACGAAAAGCACGCCTTCCACGACATTTCCCCCACCCCTTCCGGACGGGTGGCCGCTGCGAAGAGTGGATCGGAGGCCAGTTGTCCATGGACTCTCGCCTGGTGGAGCCGCCACGTTTGCCTCGGACCAGGTCACCTCCGACACCGTCAGGTCCAGGTCACGGTTCCCGGTCGTGCCATCACCCCGAATTGGAGGGCCGGAGGCTTTTTCTCAAGTGTTTCTTCAGTATAAACAGCGCCGTGGTGAACAAGGCATGTTTAGTGATGAAACTCTTCTGCTCTGGATTTGTTGTCATCTCAGTGGAGCAGTATGGCCAGGCCCCTTTGTACATGGGAATGGCAACAACAACGTAACCTTAACTGCAACACCAGCTTATCTGAACATCTTAACGGTCCCACACAAACAAAACCATGTATCATAAGAATCAGCTAATTAATTAAGCTAAGCACCAGAACCCCACGCGAGCGGTCATCGACCCGGGTCGAAATTGGGTCCTTGGGCCAAAGAACAGCATAAAGGACCTGGCATGCCCATGAGGGATACCCATCAGTGAATGCCAATCATCTAGCACGTGTGAATACCCCATGATGTCCCAAGTACTGCTTCACGGGTCTTTGAAAGTCCCTGACTCGGTGCGAACACCACCGGCCTTTTACCCGTTACTACTGCGCTGCGCCAGCCAGCACGGTCGAGGTGCGCACCCAGCCAGATAGCCACCAGCAAATTCAATGAGGAAGAAGAATGATGGCTAATGACCTGAAGAAACGAGGGGAATTGGCCCGCCATGAGCAAGGATTTGGTTGATCTGACATGGAAGAATGATGGCAGTGCGTTCCATAATTCGTCCAACCGTTCCCAAGTCCAATGATCCCATTGTTTTATATGTTTTTGGCGTTCCCACCAGTGTCAGAAATAGACTGCCCTCCTATAGGAGGACAGTGGGCTGTGAGATATGCAGTGTCGCCCCACCAGTATGAGAACAACGTCCGCTACGATGGCCACCCCGCTGGATCATGCTGTTCATCACGCATTCCAAAAACGTTGAGCCCAAAACAGCCTAACACATACATAGGAAGTCTCTGACTTCCTTGATGTTGTCACAAGATGTCACAAGGAGAATTGATGGTCCAATAGAAAAGATCGAATGCTGACTCAGGAGGTTCTCATATCCATGGATTTTGACTTGCAAGTGTTGGAATCCTTTCAGGGCACCCAACTGACTGAGGAAAAGGGCGGGACTCTTAAGTATTAAACGCAAACAATTGTCCACGAGTATACATTCTCCGCTGAACTGGACTCTTTCTGAATGGCAGTTCATACCTTGCAACCTGAATGAAATCGTAAGTCCATCCAGAAGTCGGCCCATTTACCACCAGAATGAGGTCATTGACTTGGTCCTTCAAGGTTCAACAAGACCCGTGAAAGTTAGATCCACCCACAAGTTTACCCAGGAAAATCCAAACATGCTTCTAAGTATAAATTCCAACATCAAACCTGCACCGCAGCCACCGCATGGCCACTATTTTGATCACTATGGAACCGCGCTGGCTCATGTCAGGCCACCGACCAAGCGCTGATCGCTAAGACCGCCAGCAACGCCAGCACCGAGCAAGCGACAATGACCTGAACAAGGCCCCGCTCAGGTCAAAGAGCGAGGTAGCGGTAAGACATGCCTAAGTCAACTGTGCCTATGTCAACTGGTGCCACGCAGTTTTTTTGGTACATGCGTCTCTCTCACAATCTCACTTGATGAAGCTGTTACAAATCAAGCTAATGACAACCCGCGTGCACCATTCGTGTAATCGCGGCAGTCTGTTACATTCCGTCCCCGTTCTTCCATCTGCAGTTCCTTGTCGGGCACCTTGGCTGCCGTGGACGGCTCCATGCCTTGCAGCAGCAGCAAACTCGCCAAGATCCGCGAGCAGTCCAAGGGGAAGCAGGGCACCAGTAGGTTGAAGAGCCTTGGCAGGTCAGGTTGGGCAAAGATGTGAAAACTGAAAGGGAATCATATCCGTCATATCCAAGCTAAGGCATGCTAAGGCAAAGGGAAAGCCCTTTTCACACCATGTTGCACCCCATGCTCTCCGTATATTTGCCGAGTTTCAGAGATGCAATTTTGGTAGCTGGATTGGGGAGTTGACAAACAGGTCTGTGACTGCATGTGCATCAAACTTGAGTCTGCATGTGACCGAGGGCTCCAAATATATGCTGGGAAATTTGTTGAACTGAACTAAGGGGAAGAAGGGAAAGAATGAAACAAAAAAGCAAACAAAGGCCGCTCAGTCGACCAAAACATTGATAAGTCAACTTGGAAGACAGTTGAGGGACAACCTAGGGCCTCCACAGGGCAGCAGCTGCATGGAAAATGGCCAAGGGCTTGAGGCAAGCTACGTGATGGCATCGATGTATGTATTGCAATGTAGCGGACTAACTTAGTATATAGAGGAAAACTGAGCAACCAATCCTGAGCAAGCCCTTGGCTTGAGGCCATGTCCACTAAAAACCTGACTCACAGGACAAGGAGCAACATCGCCAGGTTGGTATTCAACATGGCAATGCACACCAAACTGCCGAAATCTTGGTCCTGAAGTCACGGCGGCCCAGCCATCTAATCTAACATGCTCCAGTGGGCCATCCTCCGGTTCAGGTACACTCCTCCAAACCAAGATCTCACAAGGGCACATTTTATAGTTGTTCATTGTGCGCCTGCAGTTCTTAGGTTTTAGCCGAACTTCAAGGACAAAGGAATTATATATATATATCCTCAAACCCCTTCAGCTGGCACCCTTCGCTCAGCATTTCTGAGAAAACAAACTGACAGGCAGATGATCCCCGCGAACACTGCGGTTGATGGCATCAGTCCCAGTAGCCCATTTGGCTTGACCCATCTTGCTCTGCTTGTCCCGATGGACACCCAGGTGTCAAAGCTTGCAGTTTGCCAGGAAGGACTCTGGAGTTTCTCCCCCATCAAGTTCTGTTGGTCCCTTCCATGTCTGAAGATATCATTTCACAGCAATGTCCCTTCCCTGTATAAGACCTCTCGCAAACCTTCTGGCAAGGCTCAGGTCCCATCACTGACCTTCAATGTTAGCGGGAAAACTGTAAAATCAAACCTGTGAAGAGTGCCAGTCAAACATGGTCTCAAGGTTTTGATACAAATACAGTTCAACGGACATGTGTCGGGAATGTGTGTAATCCTTACCAAGTAGCTGGCTGAGCCAACATGTTCTATATATATATAGTTATAATGTACGATGAAATTCTAGAATTGAACTGTGTTCACATTCGTAAGAACCTTCCTAGCTTCAACCGAGCACTATCTTCTATCAGTCCATGGCTTTGACCCCAGTCGTTGCACTGGTCGCTGCCAAAGGGTCAATCCAAAGGCCCTGCGTCGATAAGGTCACGGACCCATGCAGGAGCGCCAGCACGGCTGCCCAAAGGCCCAGCATGGGCACATGGGTGGCAGGGCCAGAGCCCGAGATGAAGATCTGCTCCTATCGACGGTTGGCCTCGACATGGACCTGTTGGCCTCTTTGGGCTGGACCTGTTGGCCTCTTTGGGCCCCCCGTGGGGGGTCATACACAGAAAAAATACACCATTCTGAGAAGCAGGGTTTCTCCAAGAAATGTGGACTCTGGCAAAGGCCCCTCCTAAACTTCCTCGGACCACAAGAGAAGCCCCTCTTTTTCTGTGGACTGAGGGATGCAGGAGAAAGAATTAGTGAGTCTAAATCATGTTTTGAAATGATGGAGAGTTTGTTTCAACCTTAATGGCCACTTCTTTCCATGGCCATAATCGAGCAGCTCTTAAAGATTGTACAAGCCAGCGGTGGCACATCAAGGACAAAAGACTACCATGGAGGTAGTACAATGTGGACTTGGCAAAGCTCCCCAAGCAAGTAACCCAAACTAACAACCAAATCCACCTCCGAAAACTTCCCAATCCACATGGACGTTGCGCCCATCACGTCAGCCCCGTCGTGGTCGTCCTTGGGCTTCACGGAGCCGCCGATGAAGGCTAAGCCGCCCAAAGGCCACAGGAGGATGTGGTCCGCCGAGCAGCCCACGCGCTTGGCCGCCCACACGTGCCCCAGCTCGTGGAGCAAGACCTGGAGACCGGGCGCCTGTGGGTGGTTCGGGGATTCCGCCGGAGTATTTCGTTGCCAACTTCGTGATCCCAAAACCCAGGATGGAAACAAAGAACTGGCTCTGGATCCGTTTGGTGGAACTTACTCCCCACCGCATGTTTTTTCGCGCACATCCCCGTACATTCCCCCTCGATACTCAAAAAAACAACTCGTTGATGTTGATGAATGGGCCCTCCAAGGTGGCCGCGCCGCACGTTCTTCTCTCCGAGCAACTGTGATCAAGAGTAATGGCCCTGCCACCACAACCGCCAAGATCACTGATTGCCAGGGGTGCCCTGCCAACATGGTGCTGATGCCAGCGAGAAGAGCCACCAAGGGCAAGAAGACGTGTAGTCCTTGAATCGGCGTCGTCAAACTTGAATCCAGTCTGGGGAGGGCCCACCTGGGGAACAGGAATTTGGGAAACACCTCAGCGAGCGCCAATCACCTGCAATACTCTGAACATGGCCTTATAATCCAACCATTCTCCAGGCGAGTCCCAACAACCAGCCACCACCCAAGCCACTTGCAAAAATGTCCAGAGATTCCAAAAGGACTCTCTGAAGAGAACCTCTAGAGGCGTGTTGGGGAGGTCGGGGAGTAGCAAAAAACTAGTACACGCATAAAAATATGTAAAAATAGTTAATGATGACTTGCCACTAAAGCTTCGGATCGGAATCCCCATGATGCTGCCACAAGGCACGGAGAGGTATTCCATGCCACGCACTTCGCCCTCCGGCATCGCGCCGGAAGAGGCACCGAGGCCCGTCCGCCGCGCGGCGCTGCGCTTGAAAAAAGAGCTGCACCGAGGCCGAGGCCCGAGGTCGGTGCGTCGCCCGAGGCCCGTCCGTCGCCCTGAGACGGCCCGTCCGTCTGAAAAGGTTTGAACAAATCACTTGCTGGACCCAAGTTGAGGATTGTCGAAGTCGCACTAAACCAAAGCTCGATGAAGGCGTGCGATTGGGTGAAAATATGTGAAGATCAAATTGGAAGAACATCTCCCCATTGGTGCTCCATCAATATCATTACCGTCGGTGGCTTCACCACCACCACCAACCGAAACATATCGGAGCGTTTCTGCTGAACTGAAAGCCATGCATCCCATGCCTTTAAATAGATGCGTACTTCTGCGCACTTGTCCAGCCCAGCCTGCACATGTTCTTTGTACTTCACCCTGCATGTGAACCTCTTTGTCGTACCCAGCGTGGGTTCCTGTTGGTCTGGGAACAAAAGTATAACAAAAAACATCAATCCACTCGCGCCACTTGGTGCCCTGAATCGTTGGACACTTGAGCACTCCATGTGACTTAGTCCCTTCAGCTGTTCCTCAAGGCAGGACATCCTGTGCTCTCTCTCTCCCTCTCGCAAGTGCCTTGCCGCTTCATTTTAGCCATGGCAGCCCAACATGGCAGCCATTCCAGGAATTCTTCAGCGCAGTCAGCGCAGTCGGTGGAACATCGCTCCGGTCTTTCCGGCCGAAATCCACTCGGGTGCTCGGAATGCCGGACAGCTCGGGTGGTCCCCCAAGACCGACCTGCGAGGTCTTAACCGGCTTGCAAGGCTGAGGACATCCAACTCTCCGAGGTTATATATGTGATATGCCATATCTAGATTCGTTGTTTATTTGTTATTTAAGTATATATATATATTAAATATTATTAAATATGTCATGTTAGCATCTGAGTTCATGTTCAATTGTCTTCATTATCTTGAAAAAGCGAAGGCTCTGCCATCACCGATCACGGCGGAGGGAGAATACGTCCAGGTTGCCTGCAAACATAATCTTTGCGAGCATGTTTATGCAGCAAACAATCCTCTTGTGTATCTACACTCCGGCTAACGTGGAAGTGGGACCGCCCGACCGCCCTGTGCCTGTGCAAGGTCGCAATGGAAGTAAAACACAAATCCGTTGAAGTTCTTCTAATTAGGTCTCGTCTGATGCATTCTTTTACGTCTGATGCAATGCGTCCCAGGTTTTTGTCTGGCCTTTTTGAAGTCATCCCATCATCCAATCAAGTTCTCCACAACAGGCTCGACTTCACCTCGGCATGGTGAGTGTGCTTCACTGAGGATGAATTCAACATGCTTCAAGAACGAAGACCATCTGCTTCGCTCTGTTGAAGTCTGATTCTTTGATTCTTGTTACATCGGACTCACCGACATCGACCGACATCAAGCGCCAAATGTCCGACATCACGGGGCGTGGTCGGCAAACATCTGACAAACCAACGGTTCAAGGATGAGGACGATCGACACTGAGTCACTCGAATGCTTTCAAGCCGACGCCGCAGCTTTGCATAGCTGAGAGCAGGCAGAATACGATGGGAATATGCTGTCATGCTGTCTGGCACATGCCTTGGAAGGGTGTCAATCTGACTGTTATCACCATGAAGCAGCGCGCATGCTCCTCTCCCCTGCCTTTGTTTTCAACGCACAACAATGCCGATGGATGCGGCAACCACCGATAATGCTTTAAACAGAATCGATGTACTGTATAAGTATAAGTATCTTCTTCACTGTTCCATGTCTGGTAATGGTAGCCAATGTCCTTGCATATTCTTGCTAAGCAACCATAAGCAAACTACAAACAGTACTGCAATAGTTCAGGCGCTCCTCGCCTGAACCGGGAGCTGCATATTCGCAGCAGCCACCAATATTGTTTTGAACAGTAATGGTGGTGGGTCCATGTCTCGTCCGGGTTGCCCAAAATCAGAACGAGTTTTGTGAGTGTGCTGCCGCAGCACTGCCAAAACCATTAGACAACCAACACCAAGTACTGACCTAAACAGGGAACCAATGTCTTCTTGCTAAGCAACCACGGAGACTAATTACACAAAAATAGCTGGTTGGCTATCGCCAAACCGCAAATTCACTCGGTGTCACGAATCCCGTACACTGTCGGAGCAAAGCCTGACTTCTCTATTTCATCGACCACGCTGATGAGGTCTAGATGTATTTGTTTGTAGAGCGCTTTGCTGATGCCCAAAATGCTAACGAACATGCTGATCGTGAGCTGGATTGCTGAGAGATTGTTGACGGAGGAGGCCAAAGCAGCGGCTTGGATGGGGACAGAAAGAAAAGCTTCTACGAGCTTCTCAGACTGCAATACTTGAAGAACTATGTCAGTCTGATAGCCCACATCGAACGACTGTCTGATGCCATCTACAATGGCCCTGAATCCAAGTCGCATCTGCTGGATAAAACTCAAAAGAAGCACCAAAAACTGCAAGGACATCAAAGTCCACTGCTGGCTGAAAGCCAGATTCAATAGAGTCATGACATCAAGGCAAACATCCAAAAGAAAATGTCCCAGCTCCAGACTCAGTAGGACTTTGAATCTCTGCCCGGAGAACACCTTCCCTTTGGCCAGCTCTAGGAAGCGACCCAAGTTCTCTTTTTCGACTCTGATCTTCTTTTTGAGCTCAAGGCGATCTACTTTCTTCTTGTCGAAAAGGATTGCTAAGCAAGCAAAACAACATGGTGCAAGAAGGATGCAAAAGCAGGGCATCAAAAGCTTGCACGCATTTTGCTCAATCATTGCAATCCATCCTCTCACCCCATCCTCCAAAGGTAGCAAAAAGCAAAGGTTGCGGTGCACCCATGCAAAGAACTCCGGATATCTTAGACATCTGCAATCTGCGATCCATCGAAGAGCCTTCTGAGAGCAGTCTGCGTCGCCATCCACAAGCTGACTCGTCCGGCTATGGCTATTGATTGCAGCGTGCCTCGCATCACCAACGTCACATGCGGCTGGACAGCTGGCAAGGTCTTCCGTCTTACAGCAAGCCCAGAATTTTTCCGCAAACTTGGCTTCCGCTTCATCACATGGTATGCGTAAGCCAGGAATGCAAGTGGATCCATACTCTGGTTCAGTCCCGCCTTGGATCGTAACATCTCCAGCAGTTTGCTGAATCGCAATATTTGCAGCACCTTGCGCCCGTTTTTCAAACAGACTGACACCAGGCCCTGAAAGGTGGGAGCCAACCAGATATAGAATGGCTGAAATCACCAACATGAGGGTCATCGCCGCTCGAACTCCTGCAAAGAATGTTAACCGCGGTTCCTCTGCTGCTCGGTTGATGCCAAACATAGACCTTCTGCTTCCAGCAACTATGAGAGCGGGTCGACGCAACAGCTGAAGAAGGTTACCATGATCCATGAAAGCTCCAAACGCAGCAAAACATACCCCTGCGATATACAGCTGGTCGTTCAGAACAAAGGCAAAGGCCAGGAAGCTAAAGTCCGCAAACACGCGAAAAAACTGCATCCACCAAACATGCCATGCAATGCAAGCAGCCTCGCGTCTTAAGACTCCCTCCACTGCCATGACATGGATGCTGACAGGGAGTCTCGTCATGGCCAGTCCACTGCCGGAGCACTGGCCACTACGAACGAACCCCTCGCCAATTCAAACATGAAAGCACCAAAAGCAAACATAAACACATGGCTAGTAACGTCAACAGAATGCTGCTAGAATGCTGCTAAAGTATGTTGTGTAGAAGTAAGTAACAGTTATATGATGTTATAATAGATGATGTTGTAAATAATGCCACAGGTGCTGCATTAAAGGTAAAGGTTTCTTCTAATCTAATCTAATTATAATAATGCAATTGTATATTGTGTTCTGCCCTCTTGCCAAATCCAACCCAATGGGCCTTATACATCTTGATTCCCTGGCGCGGCTTTCTTCTGGAGCAAACTTGAGCAGCCGTGGGCTGCTGTCGGAGTCACCTTTTCGTCAACCCGACTCGTGAGTCAAGTCAGCGCAGCTGGAAACAAAACTTGAGGCCAGGGGGAGGAGGTCGAAAGCTAGCCGAATCGCACCGAATGTACTACAGTAGTTACATAGTCGGCAAAGCATGTAGTGATTACATGTTTTGGGAGAAAGGTTGCTACGTACATACTGTGCGCTGAAGAATGTACATGTGACATCGCCGACTGGGAAGGGTACATTGGAACTCGTTGGCAGGCACGAAGATGCGTGATCGGCAAATCTGGGGGTTAAATTTACCCCCCGCTTTTGTATGCCTTGAGTCGGAAACAGGGGTAAGCATTTCTGACATCACTCGGACTGTCCATACACTAGGGCGTCCGTAGTGTAGGAGAAGCACGGGTAAAAGTAGAGTGTCTTGAGGAAATAGCCGGCTTATGGTTATTGCAAATCTGGGGGTTAAATTTACCCCCCGCTTATGTATGCCTTGTGCCGGAAAGAGGGGTAAGCATTTCTGGCATCACAAGGACTGTGCATACACTAGGGCGTCCGTAGTGTAGGATAAGCACTGGGACAAGGTACGGTATAAGGAGTAGAGTGTAAGCACTGGTACAAGGTACGGTATAAGGAGTAGAGTGTCTTGAGGAAATAGCCGGCTTATGGTTATGGCAAATCTGGGGGGTAAATTTACCCCCCGCTTATGTATGCCTTGAGCCGGAACGAGGGGTAAGCATCACAAGGACTGTGCATACACTAGGGCGTCAGTAGTGTAGGATAAGCACTGGTAAAAGGTATCAGGAATAGAGCGTCTTGAGGAAATAGCCGGTGTATGGTTATAGCAAACCTGGGTGGTAAATTTACCACCCGCTTTTGCATGCATTAGGATTGAAATAGGGGTAAAGAACTTGTAACAGTGAAGTGCAAGTCCTACGCAGCAAGCAGCAGCCAGCAGCAACCACCAACCAGCAGCCAACCAGCAGCACCACGCAGCAGCAGCGCAGCACCAAGCCGCAGCAGCAGCAGCACCACCAGCAGCAAGCAGCAAGCAGCAGCAGCAGCGGCGTCGTCAGCAACAGCAGCAGCAGCACCAAGCCGCAACAAGTAGCAAAGCAGCAGCTACAAAAGCGGCAGCCTCAGGCAGCAGCAAACAGCAGCAGCAGCAAGCAGCAGAGCGGCAGCAGCAGCACCGTTTACACCAAGCCACCGTTTACACCCAACCAACCACGTTCACACGTTCAACCAACCCCCGCTACACGGCGCAACTGGGAGTCGAACCGTGAGGGGGGGAGGGTGGGGAGGGGGGGGGTTAGCGTCATATATCAAGCTTTAAGGCACACAGTTCATCCCACTACCAATTGCTAAAGCAAAGAAGAACTCAGCTAGCATGCTAGCTTTCGTGATTTTGCCAAACCACACATGTCCAAGACAGTAAATTCAAACACTTTGCTCTCAGGTAATGAAGATTCATCAACTGACGAGGCACAGCCGAAATGTTATGTGATGCATCCACAAGAAAAAACGAGCAAATGATCATGCTTCCGACGAAGCTGACCATGCTTCCGACAAAGCTCGTCAATGAATCCTAAATACAAACACTAAGTCAGTGGATGTTTTGCAAAAACGCATGCAAAATCCCATGAGTGTCATCTTGATTATCCAATAATTACATGTGTTTCCGCTATCCAGGATCATCATCCAAAATTCAAGTGCATGATGTCTTTGACATCCTGGCTTTGAACGCACACCCCAAAATCCAAAATACCAAACAAAACACCAACAATTTCCAACATGTAACAACACCTCCACTAATGC